GAGCAGGGAGCCCGATGCGGGACTCGATCCCAGGACTCCAGGATCATGACCTGAGCCGAAGGCAGTCGCTTAACCAACTGAGCCACTCAGGCGCCCGCGAGTCCTTTTCTGACCTCAGAGTCAAGCCCCACTGCAGGAAGAGTGGCTTGCTCCTGAATGCTCAGGAAACCACGAGGTGGGGGGCAGGGTGGCCAAGAGTGATGGCCCCACGTCCTGGTCAAAGCCCCTGCGTGGCCGGGCCTGGCCTCATGGACCTATTTTTATCAATGGTACACATCCCAGCACCTGGGGGTAGCGGGAGACCACCTGCCTCAGGACAGCTCCCTGCAGTGCCCCAGGCCTGGGGCTGAGAGGGGCCAGTGTCCAGTTCTAGCTCCGATGGCTCCCCACCTCTGTCCTGCCGAGGGAGTCCCATACTGGCTGAGTCCAGATCTCAGTAAAAGGGACCTTTTCCAGCAAGGGGAAGGGAGGGGCCTGGGTGGTGAGCTGCTGTGGCCGGAAGCTCTTCTGGGAACCAAGGGCGGCCTTCAGGCCCTTATCTGAGGTTGAACAGACACCACGGACTCGTACCTCAGCGGGAGGAGCTGTGGTTTTCCGGAACAGCTGACAAGCCAGTCCTATGGGGTGGGGTTTTCAGGGGAAGCAGTGCAGGGTCTGGAGCTGGCCTGGGCAGAGTCTCACGATGGGGTCTCTCTCAGGGCTCAGTGACCCAGGAGGACAGGTGGTCTGCCAGGCTCTGCTGGTGGGCACATACCTGGCCCCACCCCAGGAAGCTGGGCTGAGTAGGAGGGGGACAGGAGCCTCTCAACAGCCCCTTACCTCAGCACGAGCCCCCTAACCTCTCCCCCTCCATTGCCCATCCACAGTTCTGTCCCCCAGAACTTGGCTTTGCTCAGGCCTCACCTACCTAGAACCCCTGGTGGTAGCCCCTGCCTGCCCATGCCCTGGGGTCTCCACCTGACTCTCCAGCCCCTGTGCCCCCAGGGCCCCGCACAGACTCTTTTCATCGAAGAGTTGTCCTATAAATCACGGAGACCCAGGCCCTCCACATGCTCCCTCCCTGCTCTATGTCTTGGGAGCTGGGGTGCCTCAGGGCCAGGCCAAGCTTGCAAACCATGGGGTTCTGGGGGCTCCAAGGAGGGAGGGGAGCAGGGGTGGGCAGATGGAGCTGGGCTGAAGGACAGGGGGCATCCCTGCGAGGGGCAGTGGGGGAGGGGTAGACAGAAGGGGGCCGATCCAGCATCAACCAGGGTCCCCCTGAGCCCTCCCCAAACCCTGAGATCTTCGGGGCCAGACCCCTCCCGCCCCGCCCACCAAGCGAGTCCTCACTCTCCACCTCTTTTGCTGCTGCCTGAATCCGGCCTCCACCCCATCCTCCACCTGGGCCTTGGAATCTCCCCCCCCCCCCGCTCTGTGCCGCCCTCGGCTGACGTCAGGGCGCGGTCACCCCACATGGGGCCCCCCCATGGGGAGTTTCCATGCTGAGTCAGCCGACAGAGAGGTCCCTCAGGACTGGGTGTATGCAGGCCAGAGTGCTTTCTCAGGAAGATCCGTGACTGCAGACGACCTGACGTCCCCCCCTCCCCACCACCACCACCCCCGGGACAGCTGAGCTGGGTTGGACACCGGAGGGTTGGGGAGCCCTTTGCCCCAGGGCAGCCTGAGGAAGCACCTGTGGAGGGTCCAGGACAGCCCTGAGCATCCCATGGGCGTGGGGCCGTCAAGTGACCCAGGTGACAAGAGCAAGACCGGAGGAGAGCTGGCTTCCTGAAGCAGGGGGACAAGGGGTTGACAGGAGACAGAAGAGGGGCCGGGGGTGTGGCAAGTCCCAGAGAAGTCTGCCGGGGGCCCTCCCGGAACACAGCATGGTACCTCCCACTGTCCCCTGACATCCATCCAGTCCACCTGCATTTTCTCATTTATTAGCTAATTCACCTGGATCCTCACCCGGAATTTGGGCTCTGTGGGAGCGCCCGGAGCCTAGGATCCAGCAGGCACGGAGGAGGGAAATGATTTCCTCCCCACGTGAGGAAAATCATGAAGGAGCTGTCAACACCCCTCCTTCTAGGGGTGAAGTGGCTGCACCAACCCGAGGTGGGGAGGGGGTGGGGGTGATGCCCCTGTTTGCCACACACCACCTCCTTGCGGCCTATCGGGCCTGAGTGGGGGTGAGGGCCAATGAGCCAAGGGGCTCTCCAGGGCGGCATGCAGGTAGGAAGGGGGGCGTGGGGGACCTGGAGCACGGGAACTGTGGGCACGTGCCCAGATGTGCTGGCACCTGACGGGCCTGCTGTCGAGACCAGCCTCCACCGGCCTGCCTGCCACACCCTGGACAGCTGTGCCAAGGAGTCCTTATCAAAGCCTCCAGGTGCCAGTCTTGCCAGGAGGCTGGGAGAATACTGCTCGCCCCCAACGGGCGGGAGGCTAGAACCATGCCCCGAGGGAGAGGGAACTTGGGAGGTGCCGGAGGCAAGCAGCAGGGCTTGCTGAGAGGGTGGGGGCCAAAGGCAGGCCCCTCAGAGGCTGCCCTCCTAACCAGGAAGAGTTGCATGTAGAAACTGACTCGCCCTGGACTTGGGGCCGGAATGACACAAGGACAGGCACCCCCAGGAGCCAGCAGGCTGTGTGACCAGCACAGAACCCTGAGTCCAGAGCAGCAGGGGTCCAAAGACTGGACACAGAATCCAACTGTCCCAGAGTGCCAAGCAGACTGCCAGGGCAGGGGGTTTGGACAGAGCCGCAAAAGGGCACACAAGACAAGTGTCCATCATGGTGCCCTTCCTCCAGGAAGCCTTCCAAGTCCCATGGTCCCTGCTAAGTGCTTGTGCCCAGGACTGGAATGGCCCTGATTTCTGCCCCACCCCCAGCCCCACCTAGGCTGGAAGGAGACTGGGGGTACTGGCGGGGGGGGGGGGCTTGTCTCCCTGTTCTCCCACCCCAGAACACGTCCACTCAGGTCACTGGACAAGTGTTTATTGCGCACTGCCTGCAGCCGAGTCCCGCACTGGGCACAGCCTGCTGTCCTGGGAGCCAGGGGCCCACAGACAGCCCCCCCAACAGGGCCAGCGAGGGAGGGAAGCAGCCATGGCTGTGGCTCTATCTCCCATGGGGGTCTGGCCACAGCCGCTGCCTCTTCTGGATGGTCTAGGGGACTGGCCACTGTCACTATCCCCCACCCACTTCCGCCATCGAGGGGAGCAGGGCCGGGCCCAGAGCTGGGGTCCCCCCGGCAGGGTGCAGAGCCCTTGCTCCCGAGGGTCAGCCCTGGGACGCTTCCTGGGAGGGTCTGGCTCTGGGTCTGCGGCAGAGGACAGCCAGGCCTCACACCCACAGGTCCCTCAGCTGGCCCTTGTCCTCCAGCAGCTGCTCGCCCCGCTCCTCCTCGGGGAACTGGCAGCTGCAGGCATCCTCGGCTGGCGGCCGTGCCTCCAGGGGCAGCTGGGTCTCTGCAGAGGGGCTTCAGTCAGTGGGCGGGCCGAGGGCTCACCTCTCCCACCCCGGGGGGCACAACTGACCTGGGGGCCACACGGGTTGCCTCCTCAGCTGCCAGATGTGTAGGCCAAGCTGGGCTGCGCTCAGGACCAGGATGCAGGCGGCCACGGTGAGGAGGATGATGGTCAGCGGGCCGTGTGGCTCAGCGGGCGGCAGCCCCAGGCTACATACGGCATTGTGTGTCTTGTTCCCGGGGAACATGGTGGGGTACCCAAACTGGGAGCAGCTGGAACACATGGACACAGAACGCTCGTCAGCCCTCGGCCACCCGAGCAACCGCTGCGCAGGGCTGCTGTCCTCTGAGCTGTGTGTGGGTCACCGCACCAGGAAGGACAGGAGAGGCCCCTCCCTCAGGAACTGGCCGGCCACCTGAGGGTCCCACCAGGACTCACTCTGACCAGGGTTTGCAGCGACCCTCCTGGCCTCCAGAGAAGGTCCCTGTGGCACAGTCGACACACTCAAAGCCGAAATTGAAATTCCCTGGAGACAGACAGACAGCCGGGGTTTGCTGGGGTAGATGAGAGGGAATCCATCTGGAGCCTGGGTCCCCAGCAGAACGACTCCACACACCTTATCCATTGGACAGAGGTCTCTGATGCCTGCAAGACTGGGACCTGGCCAGAATCAGTGCCCAGGTGTGCCCCATTCCAGGGCAGGCGTCTGTGGGGGAGGGACGCTGAGCTGAGTGGAGGTTCCTGGGGAATCTGGGAGAGGAGAGCTGTGTGGCACATGGCCAGAGGGGAATGCAGGGGCCTGACCACTGGAGGCCGGAGGGTAAGGGAGCCCATGGGGGGTGGAAGTAGAAACCAGGCAAGAATCAGGCCAGGCCTTATGCTTGGTCCACTGGCCTGGAGGGCAAGAGGTCAGTGAGGGTCCCAGAGAGAGGAGGTGAGGCTTGCACCCCAGCTGACCCTGGACCCTGTCCTACCCAACCTCCCAACGCCCCTCTGGCTACACCGTGTCCCTCCCATCAGGTAAACAGGCCCCAAGAGGATTTGAGCTGCTCCTTCCAGGAAAAGGTTGACCCCCAGACAGGGCATCAGGGGGCAGGCCTAGCTTTGACAGGACTGTCCCCATGCCGATGCTCAGGGTACGTGGAGGACTGGGGCATTGTCAGAGCCAGGGCCTGAGAGCTAGACAGCCCCTGGACACCCCCACTACTCCCCACAACCAGCCCTGAGGAGTACCCTCGAGCTGGAAAGAGAAACCCAAGCTAAGAGAGGGAAGGACTCCCCAAAGCTGCCCGGGTGCTAGGACTCACATCTGAGCTACGGCAATAAGCAGCAAACGGCCCCACCCACCTGGGCCTTGCAGGACCTGAGACGCCAGCGCCTGCCTGCCCAGAGAACATACGTGTACCCTCCACACACAAGCACTTCCCTCCACCCTCATGGCACTGGCTACGCACCCGCTCCCACGAGCTCTGGCTCAGCCCTGGTCAAACCCATGGACCCGCTCAGGCCACAGCTGCCGGTGACTTACCATGAGGCCGCACCTCCTGGCCCGGCGGGCAAGTGTGGTGCTTGCAGGTCTTGCACTGGGGGTCTCCACAGTGGTAACCTGGCTCAACACACGTGCAGTCCCCCTCAGGACAAGTCTCAGCTGAGCAAGAGAAAAGCCAGCCCTCTCAGCAGCTGGGCCAAGCCCCTCCCTCCTCAGGACTCCCCCCACCCCACCCTGGGGGCCCTCCAGAGGGAATGGGGTGATATAGGGAAGGGCAGTCCATACATCCACCCTCAGGGGGCCGAGGGGGCCTGTCTGGGAGCCAGGACCCCGGTGGGGTCCAGCTGTCTCCCTCCCTCCTAGGCACCTAGCTCCTCCACCATGTGGCCTGGCTGTGTCCCCCCCACTGCCCTGAAGCTGCTCCCACCCAGGGTGGTTGTGACTTGGCATGTCACCAGAACACATCCCTGCTGGACAAGGGGGCCACCTGGGGGACCTACTCCCTCTCCCCTTTTCCTCCTGCCTCTGTCCCTGCCGGCCACACTGAGACTTGGGACCCTCAGAGACTGCCCTTCTCAACCCCCAGGCTCCAGCAGGGTGACGCTCTGAGCTGCTTTCCCTGCAGTATTTGTCCCCAAGCTGGCACATGCCGCTTGGCCCTCTCCCACAGAGGCAAGTCAGAGGCAGGGGCTGGGGCAGAACCTGTGCTGGCCTGAGTGAGGGCCAAGGGCTCACGAGCCACTTGGTAAGAGGTGGGACGGCCTTCCTCCACCTTGGGACCCAAGACTCGCCTTGGGGAAGTCTTGCACTCCCCGAGCCCCTGACCCCGCTTTGGGCCACTGGCCTGAGCTGAGCTCCTCGCTGCCACACGCCCCCGCACCCATTCCCCTGGGACAGTGGGCTCTGGACCCAGAAGGTCTGCCCGCCGCCCCGTCGAGTCAGTCTGAGCACAGGGAGAGGGCGCGGCGCTGCTGCCCCATGAGACAGGCTCCCCGCACGCGCCTTACCCGGGGCGCACAGGCGACAGCAGCGCGCGTCCGTCCCGATTCCACGCAGAAGGCGGTCGGGGCCGCAGCTCAGACCCCCGGCGGGGCGCTGGCCCAGGCCCATGGCGCAGAGCAGCGTGACGCCGCACAGGGCCACGCGCGCGCCCCTCGCCTCCATGGCACCCATGGCGGGCCGCAGCCGCGAGATTTGAGGGGATGGGCCCCGCCCCGCCCCCATCCGGGCACGCCCAGATCCCGCCCCGCGGGCTGCCGGCCTCTGCCCAGGTGCAGGGAGGGCAGAGCAGTTGTTCCCGTCCGGACCCCCTGTGGCACCTGGCAGCTCACAGTGCCCCGCCGCAGGCGGAGCGCCGGGGCTCCGGGGGCAGCGAAAGTACCGCGAGTGACTGCAGTGGTGAGGACGGGTCGTTGGAGCTTTGTCCAAACCACAGAATGCACGGCCGCGCGCGACCCTCTTGTAGACGAGGCAGCCCGCGACACCGCGACTTGTCCGCGCCGCGTGTCGGCCGTCACAAATGGCCCCTGGGGGCAGGGGCACGTGGGAAATCTCTGCAGCTGCCCCTCAGGTTTGATGTGAACCCAAGGCTGCTCTAAATAATAATTTTTTTTTTTTAAGTCAACTGAGCCCAGCTGTATCTCACGGAGGTGGTCTCTTAGCGGGCTGCAGAGCGCAACCACACAGGGTGGGGGCGGGGGCCTCCAGGACACTGGTGTGCGGGGGGGGGGGGGGGGAGGCGGCCTTGGGGGTTCCTAAGTGTTCCTGAACTTTGCTCCGGGAATTCCTACCCAGAAACTAAATATGCCCCCAAATGTGTGTGTATGGAGGGGAGAGGGACACTGAACACAGCCTACATCCCCAACTACTCGGGCAGGACTGGGAAGGGAGGAGGAACCTGTAACCTGTCAGGTCTGAAGGGAGGGTTGCCTGCGGGGGGTGCTGGATGCTAAGTGGCAGACGGCACCCTGAGGTGGGTAGTGCCCACAGGTGGGCTGCTGCAGGGACCCCCACAAGGACAGTCTGGCCAAGGGCTGCTCCCTCGCTGTGCCCCCTCAGTGTCTGGCTGGGTCCCCTACCCCTGCTCCAGCTTCCTCAGGAGGGTCCCATGGGCTTTTAAATTTTTTTTTAACTTTTTTTAATTTATTTATTCATGAGAAACAGAGAGAGAGAGAGAGAGAGAGAGGCAGAGGGAGAAGCAGGCTCCCAAGGAGCAGGGAGCCCGATGTGGGACTCGATCCCAGGACCCCGGGATCATGACCTGAGCCGAAGGCAGACGCTTAACCATCTGGGCCACCCAGGCGCCCGCCCCTTGGGCTTTTAAAGATCTCCTCCAGCTCCCTCGTCCTCTATGAGACCTACAGACCCCAGAGCCCACATCTGCCAGCATCATGGTCCTGCCTGCTGATCCTCAGCCCAGAACCCCACACCAAGAGGCCCCCCACTTTCTAGGGATCAGAAGGGGCCCTCCCACTCTCCAGGGATTGGGACAACACCCCCCATCCCTTTCTGGGGATCAGGACAAGCGCCCTCACTTGGCCAACGAGGTCTGACCAGGCTCCAGGTGCACATGGTGGCCCCCCCAACACACACACACCGCCGGGCTTCCACTCTGCTGACACCTGCTCATAGCTTAGGGCTCCTAGGGGAGCGGCCCCACAAGCCCCAACCCAAGGACCTCCTCAGATCTTGGGAGAGGTTGCTGGTAAGGAGCGGTCCAGGCACTGACCCAAACCTCTGGTCTCGAAGCTCTGGCCCGGAGGTGGCCCTGCTCAGGTCTCAGCTCTAACGGCTGGGCTGGTTTCCACCCGGACCTCTCCGGACAAATCTGGTCATCCTGGAGGGTGTGGAGGGCCAGCCCCTGACCGAGCCCTCGAACCACAGAAAATTCAGCTTCCCACTCACCGTGAGACTGTCCCTGGTGTCTCAGAGCTTCGGCTTCCCCGTGTGCACAGAGGGCTTCTGGGGCCCTGCCTCCTCGAAGAAGCCTCCCTGGGGTCAGGGTCTCAGGATCGTGACTGGGCTTGTACCCGCCGGGGTTGGAGGTGTGGTGACAGCTGTGGTATTGGCCTTTGAGACCTGTAGCTGCCACCTGGCCAGATGGGCAGCTGTTCCTTTTCTGAGGGAAATGACAGGAATTAGCCATCTGTGACTCAGCTCTCCAAGTCCCAGGAAGCACAGCCCCTCCACAGAGGGGTAAGCCTGGAGGTGCAGGGGAGGGAGGGGGCTTGAGGGTGGGCTGTAGCTCCAGGCTGCCCGAGGCTCCGAGGGGCCCTGAGATCTCCGTTCAGCTCCCACACCGGGACATGTGTCTGAGCGCTGGGACAGAGAGGGACTCCACACACAGAACCAGCAGGTCTAGACCTTCATCCACGGCTCATTTCAAAGACCTGAGGGGTCAGGTCTGTGGCAGTACCGGGTCACCCCAACTCTGGTTAGCGCACGATGTACCGTGGCCCAGGAAAATATGATCAATACCCTACAAATGATGCTTGTCAGACGGTGCCATGTGTCCGCTGGTCCTTCTGGAAGCAGGGACAGAGTTAGAAGCTTCTGGAAGCAGTGTGTGGTGGGGAGGGGTGAAGGTGAGCTGGGCAGGAGGAGCTCTGTGCAGGAAATGTCCACTGGAAGGGCCTGGGGGCGAGTGGGAGAGGAAGGTTCTTCCGTGGCTGCCACCCACAGCAGCAAGAAATCAAAGGGCCCACGTTAATGCCCACAGAGATAGTGGCTTATGAGCAAGGCCGCTCAAAAGGCAGGGGTGACATCAGCCAAACGTCAGTGCCTGCGTCTGCTTTCTTGCTCCAGCCCCTCCGGAAGCCCCCCACCACCGCCCCAGTCACAGGCTGCGGGGATGAGTGGAGCCTCTACAGCCGGGCAGTGAGGGGAGAGGCGATCTTTATCTGCCGTCTGTGTTTTCCAGTGCTCTGAGCCGCTCACCACATTTTTACGTTATCACTCGTTCCAGCTTACACAACCCCTGTTCCTGTTAGCGGAGGGTCCTTCACGGAGTCCAGGCAGTAACCAGAAGGGTGGTGGTGCGTGGAGATGGGGATCTGACAGCAGGGCAGGATGGGGGACTGGGTGGGGGCGCGGAGGAGGGGGCCCCAGAGAGAGGTGGCTGGGGGACACTGGGCACCGGGCAGGGCCACAGCTCCACCACCCAGGCCTGGGGGTCAGGCAGGGCCGGGGCGGAGGAAGTTTGAGGGTTTTCAGCAGACTGGCAGGGGGTGAGAGGCTGGAGAGTGTGCTTAGGGTCGGTATAGAAGCAAAGAGCAGGTGACTGTCCATCTTTCTGTCCCATTGCAGGGATAGAGCAGCCAGGCTGAGGGAAGAGCTGGGAGGTGTGGGGAGGAAGGCCCCAGGATCTGACCCCTCCCCTGCCCCCACCCTGCCCCCTCCACCAGGTCCCATAGCACTTCTCCACAGCCTCCGTGCTGTCCTGGGAACCACTGTCCCCCCGTCAAGGGTGCAGGTTTGCTGCCTGTGTCGAGGGCACGGCTTACATTATTCTGGTCACTGCTGAGGCTCACGCCAAAAGACTGTGGGAACTCAGTGTGGCTGAACATGGGATGGCTCTGTCCTCCCTCTGCAGTGTTCAGGCCAGGGGCAGAGGGGTCAGAGATTTGAAGACAAGTGGGACGGGCCTCTGTGGCGACCTTGGGGAGCAAGACGGCCCAGGAAACAAGGAGGGTTGGTGTCCAGGGCTGTGCTGGAGTCAGGGCCCAGAGTCTCACGCTCACCACGGTGCCTTTGGCTGCAGGTCACCTGGCAGCTGCGAAGGACATTCTCTGCCTGGCCTGGCACCCCAGCAGGAGGGGCGCCCTGGTCATGGACAAGTCATGGTCAGTGGGACCCCACTCTCGATGGGCATTGGGCTTTTTCTGCACCGAGGCGTTTTGTCTACACCAAGGGCAAACTGAGGATCAGCCTGATTGGAAATCTCTACTTTCCCGAAGTGGTGACACCCAACCTTCACCGCTCACTACCGACAACACACACACGCAGGTCTGGCAGGGCACGCAGTTGGAGAGGCCTCGAGAAAGAATGTCTCTTGAGCTCTCTGCTCTGGAAGGACACACAGAGACCTGAAGGGTCGCCCTCAAACGTCTCCTTTGGGGCCATTAGTGCCCAAGCTGTGGGCTCGCTGGGGGTGCCTGGGGCCTACTCACCCAGGTTTAGGGGCTCAGAGCAGCGGCTCCAGGATTCCCCCAACAAGCTGCTGGGTCTAATCCCCTCAGAACATTTGTTTTGGCCTCCACGCCCCACTGCGGGTGCCAGGACGTGCTCAGAGAAGGGGTGAGAACAGGGGTCCTGCGGTCTCTGAGTGGGGTCCACTTGAGCTCCCTACCCCACAACCCTGCCTAGGCTGGAGATCCCTCTCCCACCAGAGTAGGCACACCCCTGCGCTCCCTCCGTGGCTGTGCGGCCCCCGGCCCGCCGGCGCCCAGCAGAGACCCACGTTCGCCAATGTCCTTTATTGGGGGGCACCACCCTGGGCGGGAAGTATGCACAGCATATGTAGCAGAGCCCTGGGTGCCAGCCCAGGAGCACCTAAAACGGCGCAGGGTGGGGTGGCAGGGTGACAGGGCACCCACGTGATGGGGGGCGGCGGCCTGCGCCTGGGGGCACCCCCAATGCCCCTCAATGTCTAGCAGACCCTCTGGGCCCCCAGCCTGGGGTGGGAGCGCGCTGCTCAGATCTTGGCCAGGGTGGAGTTGGTGTCAGCATGCTCCTCTTGGATGGGGGTCCGGAAGCCATTTCCAGCTGAGGGGGGAGAGCGAGAGGCGGGAGGTGGTAAGGGTCTCAGCCCTTCGGGAGGCCATCTGGGCTGGGGCTACACTGGGTACTTACTAGGGGGCAGCCGCCAGGCTCGGTGGTGCAGGAGCAGGGCCAGCGCGGCGGCCACGGGGGCAAGCAGGCCCAGGCCCAGGCCCAGGACAACAGCCAGCTGGGGGCCTGTGGGGAGGCAGGGCCTGCTGGGGTGGGGTCCACAGAGCAAGGAGTCCATCCCGGGGGGCCTCCATGAGGGCACAGGGCATCCCACCCCATCCCTCTCTCCCCACCCCCCTTCCGTTTTGGGTTGGGGAAGGGCCCTGCTGGGGTGAGGCCAGGCCCCCCTTACCCCTGGGGGGCTCTGTAGGGGGTGTGAAGGGCTCCTGTGGGGCCCTGGCCCAGGCCGTGGTGGGATGGGTGGTGGGGGGCCAGGCTGGGGGGTGCTGGGTCTCCCACGGCAGTGTGGCTGGGGGGCTCCTGTCCTCACAGACAGCGTCCGAGCTTTTGCTGGCTGGCTGCACTGTGCGCTTTCCCATCAAGGTACAGCTGAGGAGGGCAGGGGTGTTGATCAGGCCAGAGCCCCCCACCCCCGCCCCCCGCCAACTCCTCCCAGATTGACTGGATGAGCCCAGAATTGAGACAGGACCAGGGAGATGTGGGGAGCGATGGGCAATCCACACTGGATCACCTCAGGCAGCATCACACTCCCACCCAGGGGACGGGCCAAGGACCCTGCCCAGGCCCCCACACCCCCCAGGGGATCCTGGCCACACCCAGGGCCACCTGCCCCACACCGTCATTCCCCATCTCCCCTCGCTCTGCTCCCTACACGGTCTCCTCCCAACCTGCTCCAGGCGCACCTTGCCCTCTCAACCCACCCCCTTGCTCTCTTCTTCCCCCACCATGGAGGCCCCAGCTGTGGATGAGCAGGGCTCTCATATACTCCCAGGGCCTGGGACAGAGTCTCATACACCCCTCACTCCAACCCAGCAGTCAGGCTGGACCAGGACCGAGCAGGCGGGCAGCACGGTGGGGCCAGGGGTCATGAGGGGACAGGGGCCATTGGGGGGGGCAGGGGCAGGAGCCCCCCAGGTCACTCACTTGGTCCAGGGCTTGCAGGCCTGGTCGTCACCTGGGGAGAAGTGTCCCGGTGGGCATGGGGCACAGTCTGCAACAAAGACAGCAGGACAGACAGTCTCCTCCACTGTCACCCACCTCGGGGACCTGGACGCAGCAGCTGCTGGGGGCTAGTTCTGTACGGCTGGGCGCTCCCCCACCACAGCCCCCAGAACCTCCTCCCTGCCCACATTCCACCCACTGGCCCTGACCCAGGGGCCCCCCACCCCTTCCTCGGCATGGCCTGTTTGCTGGGGGGAAGGAACCTGGTCTGAGCTGGGGCGGGGGGTGCAGTGGGAAGTGATAGCACGTGAGGTAGAAGACATGCTTCCTTTACAGCTCGCGAGGCCCCCACCAGCACGCAGACCCTGACCTCTCAGGCACATGCTGCCCACCCCCGGGCTCACCAACTCCACGCTTGAAGCCGTCCTGGGGCTCTGTGCCTGGCTTACAGCTACAGACAGTGTCCTGTGTGGGTGTGCACCTCCGCTTGGGTTCGCTCCCACTTCCTGGGGGGTCAGGTGAGGCGGGCACAGTCGGCAGGGCTGCCGGGGCTGCTGGGCAGGCTGGAGGACCGAGGCCGAGGGCTCCCAGACCAGCAGCCCCCTCGCAGTCGGGCGGCTCCCCGTTCTTTCCAGTCCCTGGATGCCATATTCCTTCTGGCCACGTGGCCCCTGGGACGCACCCCCGTGGCGGTTCCAGCCTCCCGTCCCACCTTCCGTCAGGCCCACAGCAGGACCCTTGGTGGCACCTGGATGCAGCTCTCACCACCCCCAAAGGCCCACTGGCAGGCACGTGCTCCTGCGTGACTCCACGTGGCCTCAGCCCCCCTGGGAGGAGGGAGGGGCTCCTAGGGGGCCTCTGTGGTACAGCAGGCCCCACTGTGGTTTGGGGTTTGTTTCTGCGGCTGTGGGGACCTCCTGTGAGTGCCTGGGCGGGATGACAGGGACTCAGGTGGGGGTCTCAGGATCCAGGCTGGGGTGGTGCTCACTCTGATTGCACTGTGTGCAGGGTTTGCAGGGTTCGTAGTTCGTAGCCTCGTTGTAGAAGCCAGGCCGACACGGGAGGCACTCGGTGTCCTGGCCTTTGCTGCAGCGGCTCTCCATCCCAAAACCTGCAGCAGGAGGCCGGCCAAACTCAGCATGGCCTGGCACCCCCAACCCCGGTCCTGGTGGCCCACGGTCCTGGGCCCGGTTGCAAGTCACCCACTCTATCAGCCTGAGTCCACTGGCCCATGACCCCCCCATGACCCCATCTGCATGTTCCCCTCTCCCCAACGCCCATCCCCATACGTCTCCCATCCCTGTGACCCACACCCCGTGTGTCAGGTCCCCATGCCCCCACAGGCACCCCTCCACTCACCCGGCAGGCAGTCACGACAGCACCTGCCGTCTTTGGGGTAGGCGTCCCCCACACACGTGAGCTGGGCTGCAGCGCCCAGCACGAGTCCCAGGAGCAGGAGGGCTGAGTGAGGCCCCCTAAGCCTCTGAGCCTCCACGAACATTCTCCTCTCCGCGGGCGGTGCAGGAGTCTGGGGTTTTTCCTTGGAGGATGTGGCTATAAGGGCTGCGGAGGAGGGGTGGGGAGGGAGAGAGGGGGAGGGGACCAGGAGGAAGGAGGCCCAGGAAGGGCTGAGGACCCCTGACCTGGGCCGGCGGCAAGAAGACGGCTGGTCTGGGAAGCAACCGTCCAGGCTGTGGGCTTCTCCCCTGCCCTGGGCCGCAGGGCCCTCATCCCCTCAGGCTCAGCCGGCTGGCAGCAGACCTGGGGCCAAAGGGAGGACCCGCAGCCACCAGACCCCTACCAGGGCCTGCACATCTAGTCCGCGCCCCCACACACTGGACCCCTCCTGCCCCCATCTCACCGGGGACGTGGACTCCCTTCGGCTGGGCACACTGGGTACCCTCCTGCTCTGGCCAGCCGAACCAAGCCGTTTGGATGAGGGTAGTCTTCAGGCCCCTCCACAAGCTTGCTCCTTCTGGGCACCCCCTCTCCCTGTACAGGGCAGACCCCTCAGGACGAGCAGGTAGCTGCCCCTGCAATGCCCCCCACAAAAGGCTACATTCATGTCAATCCTCACCCCCAAGCAAAGGGGTGCACAGAACATAGGGGTAAACTGAGGCAGCACACTGCTCAGGAGACAGGCCTCTCACCATCTGGACTCTCTACTGGGCATCGGCTCAGGGGGAAGATCAGCAGTGCCCCAGACTCCAGGGCATGGTGCCTGGCCCAAGTGTCCAAACCTAGCTCAGGCTGAGGCAGTGGTCAAGAGCTTTGAGGGCACCTGTGCCCACACGGTGAGCGTGCGTGTGGGAGCATGTGCCGGTGTGCAGGAGTACGTGGCCAGCATATGAGTGCAAAAGCAGGGGTGTGCTGGTGTGTGAGCACAGCAGGTGTTAGGAGCTGAACCGTGCCCCCAAATCCACGTGTTGAAACCCTGACCTCCAACATGGCTGTTTGTGGAGACGGGGCCTCTGGGGTGCTGGTAAAGTTTAGATGGGGTCAGAGGGGTGGGTCCTGATCCCAAAGGGCTGGCGCCCTTCCAGGAGAGACCCCAGGAAGAGCAGAGGGAGGCCACGCGAGGACAAAGGAGAAGGCAGTGTCGACCACCGAGGACAGAGGCCTCAGGAGAAAGCAGCCCACACTTGCTCTCAGACGTCCAGCCCCCAGGACGGGGCAACGATCATCCCTAGTATTGTTAGGACGGCACCTGCCCTGCACCCTGCATACAAAATATGCCTGGGAGCACGTGTGAACCCGTCTGCGTGTGTGTGCGGCCCGTGTGTGCGGCTGCCGTGAGGGTGGGGGCGAGGGGTCCACCTGCACCCACTGACTCCCTGGCCGCGTGGGGGCCCGCAGGACGGCTGTGTGCCCTGTGGTGGCCGGGCCAGCCCGGCCCCACCCCACACCCACCCTGGGCTTAGAGTGTCTCCACAGCACCAACGCGAGGCCTGGGATGACCCACTGGATGGTCCCATGGAGCACTTGGGGTCCTTGGACGCGGCCCCGGGCGGTTGCAGGGCAGGCAGGGAGGGCTGTGTGCAGGGCTGTGGTGTGTCAAGCGGGAAGAACAGGCATGTGCCCACCCAGCTCTGACATCTCTGGTGCCCTGGAGGCAGGGGAAGCTACACTGTGTCGTTTTGAAGCTTCCAAACCATAACCTTGAGATGAAATTAACCATTCACCAGTTAGTTTACAAAGTTTCAGGCGCAGGGCCTCCCTCAGGGAGGAGAGCAGGGTCGGAAGCTGGAAATTCCCCTCCCTGACTCCCCGACAACAGGTAACAAAGCTGAGCTCCCCCAGCCCACCTGTGGGAAATTCCTCCCTGGCTGAGCGGGGCACGGTGGCCACGGACCAGGCCACGGCCCACAACAGCTGGGGCGGAGGGAGGCAGGCTCTGCCAGCGGCCAGGGGGCCACGCAGGGGAGGGGACCAGGGCGTCAGGCAGCCTGGTGTGCGTGCGTGTGCCCCCGTCTTCCGCAGATGTTGAGAAAAATCTTTTTTTTTTAATTGACAACGACAAACGTAGCCTCTGAGGTTGAGCTAACTTGGGAGTCTGCTGGGCAGCGCCCCCTCCAGCATGCCCCTCTCCTTCTCTGGGGGCCACGTGGGGGCTGCCTGCCCTCTGGCGGTACGGGTCCCCACTGCCTGAGGCCCTGCACACCTGGCCCACAAATCGGGCATCTGTTCACGGGGACCCACCTAGCACAGACAACTAACCACGCTCAGCCTCCATCCCGTGGGCCCAGCCGACCCCCGGGCTCTGCCCACACCTCCGCCAAACATCACACAGCTGCTTGCTGCTGACTCACCCACGTGGGCCTGGCCACCATGGGGACCCGCTCCCACCACACTCCTGTCCCTTCTGAAGTCTTTCTTGTCTGCCTGGAAACAGCGCAGGTGTCACCGCGCCCTTGTTCCTTTACAGCGGCCCCACCCCACACTGCTCGGAAGTGGGTCCCTGTGGCAAGGGCAGGTCACAAGGGCAGCTCAGGGCAGCCCCTCTACCCACTTGGCGAGAGCCCCCACCCGAGCAGGGCCCTCTAAGGCCTGAGCAGACCCACTGGCTGGGTGAGCTGTCCACTAAAGCACCACAGCCCACGGCTCAGGGCTCCTCAGGGGACGACCAGCACGGAGCGGTGCAGGGTCAGGGGGCAGGCGCTGAAGGCAGCAGTTCGGAGGAATGTGAGGTCAGAGACCCTCAGTCAGTTAAACTCCTCACAGCTCAATGCCCTCTGTCCCCACACGCGAGAAAAGTACCGGGCACGGCTGACCCCCAGAAAGGGCCTGGGACAGCAAGCCTGAGCAATCTAGGCCTGGTGGGACCTCTGCCAATAGCCCCGTCCTGCCCCCAGGCTCTCAGGCCCTCCCAGCCCCTGACTACAGGCTCAGTGAGACTCCAGATCCCCGGGCCACCTCTGCTCCATCCCCCACAGCCAGCCCAGCTGGAGGTGACTCTTGGTGGACTCCCGTGTTCTCCCCCAGCCCCTGCCCTAAGGGCTCGTCCTCAGATCTTCCCTCTCTACCAGGAACTCGGGTCCCCCCACCTGGCCCCTCCCAGGGGGGTCTCACCCAGGCTCCACGCTCCTGACTTTGAATCTGTAGCCCAGATCCTCAGCTCCCTGCAAGAGCCCTCTTCCACGTACCCACGGGCCTCCCCATCGCTAAACACATCCCTTACATGCAGCCCCACCCAGGGGCCTGGTCCCTTCTGCACCTGCCCTGGCAAGAGCCTGACCAAACCCTCTGTTCTCACCAAATTGCCCACCTCAAAAGCACTGAGTGGAAGCCACCTAGCCACAAACGTTCCAAAATCGTTCTATGGGCTTTTTTTCAACAAAGAAATGAAGCTAGGAGAAAAAGGCAACTCTATTTTAAAGAACATTAATGAGATTCTCATCACAAGTGTTTGTGTTTTCGGAGACTGAACATTGTGGCAGGCACCCCCCAGCGGCCAGCTACGGGCTCCCAGCAGAGCACACTCTACTAGTTGGTTCACTTCTCAGTTTTCAAGGAAACGGCAGGAGCTGCGTTACTTCCCACAGGTGTGGTGAGCCCACAGGGCCCTGATGTGGTCAGTGCCTTCGGCAAAACAGCACCCGGTTCTCAGAAGTGAGACGCAGCAGTCACGTGGGACCCCCACGCATGGGGGGCAGCCAGCCCGCAACTGCACCTCGGGACTCGGGCCCGCTCAAGCACATCTGTAATAAGCCTGGACCCACGGCTGGCGGGGCCGCGGGAGGGAGGGAGGCCTTCCGGAGGGGCCAGCTGGCCAAGGCGCATGGGGCAGGCAGCAGGAGGCGCGGGCTCAGAACTCCTCGTGCACGTTGCGGGCGTAGTCCATCAGTTTGCTGCCCGTGAAGAACTCGCTGTACTTGAGGACCTCCTCGGGCTCCAGATGGTGGTTCTGGTTCTCATCGGCGATGGCGATCATCTGCTTGGCCTCGTTAAGGGCGTTGTACTCGTTCATGGGGTCCATGTAGTCCTACAATGGTTCCGGCCGCTGGGTCAGCGTGGATCCCCGGCTGCCAGGGCCCTCCCCAGTGCACCCACTCCCCGGCAGCACTGGGGCCCGTCATCCCCAGGAGTCATCTCCACTACAGCACCGAAAGTCTACACTTGGTGACATGGCCATGAGACACCCTGCCCGCCAGGGCAGATGCTCCTGCCCCCCACGGATGCCCTGTCAGCGAGGTCAGCACCTCCTGCCTCAGGGAAGCGGCTGCGGAGCTCTGACCCTGTCACCAGCTGCAGAACTCAACACCTCATTTAAAATACCCCATGGGCTGATAGAACAGAAGCAGCAAGAAGGGCATATGGGCATGTTCTGGAATGTTCTGGAAGACAGACACCAGGCTAAAAGTGGCTCAGGGCCAGACAGCCTTTGCCTGCGTGGGTGCCTGAGACTCGTCGCTTCCCGTCCTCCTCAGGGCACCCCTGATGGAAGGAAGGGGCTGGCCAGAGGGCAAACAGCCTTGAGTGGCCGCGGGGGGGGAGGGGGGGGGCCCCCCCTGCCTGTGGGTCACGTGACACCCGGATACAGACTTGAGCCGCTGTTCAATCCTTGAACCAGATGTGCCCACCAGCTATCAACAGGGATCAGAGAATTCTGGTGTAAAGACAATGAGTCATCCAGCAATGGGGAAAAACAGGCCCACACAGCACCTACACACCACCAGCAAAAACACTTCAGGGGAAGATGGTGGATTCCCACATGGCCTGCAGCCCCCAGCGCCCAAGCCAACTGCCTGCTGGGGAGTGGCTGCTTGGAGCCAGGAGAGGCTGAGACGTCCCAGGCACCCCGACCGGGGGCAGGCACAGGCGCCTCACTGCGCTGCCTGCTTTTCTGCTCAAATCTTGTCTGAGCGCCCCAGGTGACCACGCTGTCAGGTGAATCCCCCTCCCCCGCACACAGGGAGCCCACCTCCAGGTGCCATGAAGTGCCACACCACCAGCCACAGCCAGACCAACGCTGCCTTCCTTTCCACCACAGCCCCTTGCCTCAGGCACCCTGGGAAGCCTGGGGACCTGGGCCGGACCTCAGATGCCCACTGGGCACTTGCACTCACCTCCAGCTCCGCCATGGTCACAATCCCGTCATGGTTGGCGTCGATCAGTTCCTCAAACTCTTTTTTTCGGTCTCTGACCCAACTGTCATCGATATCCTGGCCCTGCTGGTTCTCCACCGTGCCCACAGGCAGAGAGATGAACTCGGGCAGCGAGAGCCGCTTGTCACCGTCCTGGTCTGCCAGACAGGGGAGTGGACGCTCAGACCTCAAGTAGACATGGGACCACCCAGGCCCACCCAGAAGAAAGTAAACCAAACAGGTTTGCTGCCAAATTTTCAGTGTGTTCAGTTTTAGCCTAAAGCAAAACAGGTGCATCTCACCTGACCTGCTCGAGAGCCTGACAGAGGCCAGATGGCCCAGGACAAGGCCTGACCCTCCCTCACCACTGTGCAGCCACACAGCCTCCAAGACCCCCGGGGCCGACCCCTGCTGGGAGGAGGATGCTGCAGGTGCACAGTGGGCCCTGCCCTCCAGCCCAGCCGCCAGCAGGGAGGGACCACCCCCTAGAGGCTGGGTCACAGGCCAGGCCTCACCCAGGTCCCGGACAATCTCCTTGACCATGAACTTGAGCATGCCACGGCTGTGCTCAGGGTGCAGGAATGACAGGAACTCGTCCTCAGTCAGAAGCAGGTCTGAGGGGGGGTTGTCCGCCTGATACCAGCGGTCCTTGAGGTTCTCCAGGACTTCCTGTGCTGAGAGAGGCATACCCGTGAGGACCCAGGACACCTGCTCGCATCTGAAAAGTTCTGAGATGTGCTGCCTGGGTGGGAAGGCTGGCTCAGGACACTGTGATGAGTGAGGCCGAGGACCCTGCCGCTCGAAGGAGAGCTCAGCCCTCAGGGAGGCAGATGGTGCAGAGCCCCCCAGACAGACACAGACCCTCCCAAGACACAGGCAGACTGCTCTCAGACGCAGACACAGATCTCACAAGATGCAGAGACCCGTGGACACAGACCCCACCCAAATACAGGGGCCGACCCCCCTCCAGATACAAACCCAGACCCCCCAAGACACAGATTTTACACAGCCCCCTCCCACAGGCACAGACACCCGCCCCCTGCCCTCATACAGCCCCCACCCTCAGCTCACTGCTGCTCTTTGCTCCTTGGGAGAAATGGAAAGCAGGGTGTAGGCGGACTCACCCTCACCATGCACCTACAGGAACAAAGCACAACCTTGTTCCTTTCCATCTTTCACGTGCACCGTATGCAGAGGGCAGGGCTCTGGAGGAAAACCCAGCTTCCAGATATGACTCAAGCATCCCCCACAGACTCTCGCCACAGCCCCCATTCTCCCTCCGTGGGAAGGCCCGGCATGGCGAGCGTGGCCCAGAGCTTGCCCCCACAACCTCACAGGCTCAGTGACCATTCAGGTCTTCAGTGGAGCGGTCGAAGCCGGGCGAGCAGGAAGAGCTGAGGCACAGAGATCTGTCCGCACCCTCACTGCAGTCACTGGGAACAGGGACGCCCAGGCCTCGGGACATCGCAGCGGGGACACGGCGGCGTCCCACACAGTACCCGTCACCTTGAGTCTCAGTGCCTTCTGATGAACAGAAGATCCCGTGGTGACCTACTTTTAATGGCAAACACACTTAGAGGAAGGTGGGAGTGAGAGGTTGCTCCCTCCTGCCCCGTACGGGGACAGGCGTGGACTCGCTACGTCCCCCTGTGGCCCGTCAACGGCGCCTGATGGAATAAAGTCTGTGGGGCTGTAACTACTCAAGGACCTCGACATGAGGTCACTGGAGATTTAAGGTGGGCACTGAAGCCAACAGCAGATGTCTGCGCACAGAGAGAGACACACAAGCAGGGACGCTGGTGGCACCAGAAGCTGGAGGGAGGCCTGCCACCGACCCCTGCAAGCCCGCGTCTGTGGTGCCTGGGGCTGGCAGCCCCACAAGCCCCGAGGAGGCAGACTGCCACGTGGGGACTCCTACCTCTCAGCCCCCGCCTGCGCTCCCCTGGCCTCCCACACCCTCAACACTGCTCTTCACTTCCGATGCCCCAGACCTGCTCACCCCACCCAAACTAAAGAAGGGAATGAGGAGCCTTGAACTCGTGCTGAGATGAAAAAGTCGAAAGGCAGGCTGAGGTGACAGAGTTCATGTCCCCAAAGGACAGGTCCTGACCCCAGGCACACCCGAAGGAAAGGTGCTGAAGACAGACTAGCCCCCGAGAGCAGGCAGGGACAGAGGGCCGGCAGCCCACGCCCCAGAAGCCACCCCAGACGCTGGTGCCAAATCACCAATGCTGGCAGGAGGACAGAGGACCCCCAGGACCCCCAGATGCCTCTAAATACCACCTTCGGGGGACAGCTGGAACTACAGGACAAACCATGGAAACGCAAAACAAAAACATATGAAAAAGGCAAACAAGCATTTCAGAAAAAAAAAATCACGTCCAAGTCACAGGATTTAAAAAGGACAGAAGTGAGGGGCACCTGGGTGGCTCAGTCGTTAAGCCTCTGCCTTCGGCTCAGGGCATGATCCCAGCGTCCTGGGATCGAGCCCCGCATCGGGCTCCCTGCTCCGCGGAGAGTCTGCTTCTCCCTCTCCCTCTGCCTGCCACTTTGCCTACTAGTGCTCTCTATCTCTCTGTCAAATAAATAAATAAAATCTTTAAAAAAAAAAAAAAAAAGGACAGAAGTGAAATCCTGGATGGTGCCCAGGGAACTGGGGAAGGCCGGCCAGCACCCGAGGGCATCCAGAAGCCTCCATGCTGCTCAGGAAAGGGGTCTGGCGCTGCGAAGTCACACGTGCGCCACAGACAGACTGAGCTGGAGCAACAAAGGCGTGGGACATGGACGAGCTGCCCGTGACGGGCGGCCCCCACAGGGACAGCTGGAAGGCTGCGGACTCAGACACTACAAGATGCTGCCAGAAAATGGAACTACAGACCAGTGTGTCTCATGCAAATGTGCCCCACAAAAGATCAGCAAATTAAATCCAAAAACATGTAAGAAAAATCTCAGACCACGACCAAGTGGGACTCATCCCAGGTGAGCAGGCTGGTTCAACATCTGAAAATCAGTTAACGTGAGCATCACATCAGGCCAAAGAAAAATCACATGATCATATCAACAGACACAGAAAATGCATGACATAAAATCCAACAGCCATTCATGATCCAAACTCTGAGCAAACTAGGAATAGAGGAAAATTTCCTCCACTAGACAAAGAACACCTACAAAAACCCTACAGCTCATATCAGGTTAATGGTGAGAAACCAGATGCTTTTCCTCTAAAATCAGAACAAGAAAAAGGTGCCCTCCGCCCCCCGCCACTTTCCAACAGCGTACTGGAAGTCCCAGCCAACGCAGTAAGATAAGGAAAGAAAATCAGAGGCACACAGATCGGGAAGGAGAAAAGAAACTGTCCGTGTTCACAGATATCACGATCACCTGCGTAGAAAGTCTGAATCACATCAAGACCGCAGGCCAGAAAGTTAGCACAGAAAGGCCAATCACTTCCCTGCATGCCAGCGGGGAGCTGGGGGATCAGGGTCAAGGACGAGCAGGAAAATACAAACAGAAAGAAAGAAGGTATGACTGCACCCGACAGAGGACAGGGGGCCCAGAGCCCACGCTGCAGCAGCCATCACAGAGCAGAGGACAGGGTGCTGGCCCGCTCACCACACAGACACGTGGCCAACGGGGGCTGTGTCCCGGGCACAGAGATGCCACAGAGAGACTCCCGCACACCCACGCCCACCAGGAGAAGACACGATGGGACAAGGGTGGGGATGGTGACCCAGCACGCGGCAGGACAGGACATGAGGCGGCACACCGAACCTGACGCCTGGCAGGGCCCCGGCGGGATCAGCGAAGGGGGTGAGTATTCTCCAGCCGCACGTGAGAAGCTAGCCAACACCCAGCGCACCCGCACCCGGAGTTTCCCTCGCCCATGAGGCTTTAAAGGCTAAGGGGAGGGCGGAGCTCTGCCCTGCTGGTGGCCGGCCCCGCCCCACCTCCACAGCACCTGCCTCACCGAACTCCCCTCCCCAGGACCCTGTCCTGTCCCCCAGACCGGCCTGCCCCCCCAGCTCGAGCCCACAGGAGGCCACCTGCTGCCCCGTGGCCTGCCCTGGCTACAGGCCCCCTCGCGGCGCACCACGGGGCCCAGGCGCTCACTCTCCTCGTCGACTTTCAGCTCCTCGCCGTTCTTTATCTTCTCCACAACTTCTTGCTCGTTGTGGCCTTTGCTCACCAAAAACTTCACCTTATATTCGTCCCACGACACACGGCCTGGAAGAGAAGACCGACCTGCTAGGCTGTTTCACGATGGATGGTTTTAGGAAGAAAGACGTCATGTTTTCAGACATCTGTCAATAACCCCGTCCTACAGGCAAGGGCAGAAGCAGAAGCACCAGAGTAGCTGCAGCCCGGCCCCCAAGCCCGGCCCTGAAGCCCAGCCCGTAGCAAAGCCCCGAAGCCCAGGCCCTCACTTCCTCGGCCCTCTGTGCACACCCCCCTCCTCCTGGCAGCCTCAGGCCCACGGGGTGAGGTTGAGGTCGGCCATACCGTCGCCGTCAGGGTCCACTGCACGGAAGTGCACCTTGCTCTCCTCGATAGCCTCCCGGAAATGCTCTGCTGTCTTCTCCATGATCCAGTGCTGCATCTCCTTGGCACTGATCCTCCGGTCAGTGTTCACGTCCACCCTGAGGGCAGATAAGCAACGTCAGACGAGGCCTCTAGAACCCAGGCAGGACAGACGGACTGACAGACCAAAGCATGGCCAGAGGGGTTCCACCGCCATGAACAGGGACACACTCTACCCAACAGTGATGCTGGGGGTGGCTGGGAAGGCTGACAGTTTGCTCTGCAGAGCAGCTCAGCACCACTTCCCCCACATTCTGGGGACCACTGGGGGAGGATGTCCAGGCAGCCTCATCACCCCAAATCCACACACCCAGACGTTTGGGACAGGACCAGAGCTGTGAAGCCAAAACAGAGTTGTGTTTCGTACGTGGGTACCGATGGGTAGATGGAGAAGCAAATGTAGATGCAAGTGTGTACATGCATATGCATGGGTCAGCACACTCATGCGCACATGTGAGTTAGCAGTGCTCTGTGGATGCAATGGCTCATACACACATGTGCAGACTAGTACGTGTGTGCCTGACTTAACATGCCTACGTACACACATGTTCCTGCACACCCACACGTCATCTAGCCCCGCCCACCGGGAGGACCTCAGGCCGGGACACCAGTGCCCAGATCCCAGCTTCTAAACACCATCCTCCGATGAAAGAAACCAGGGCTCCTTGGAGAAATGGCTGATTTCAGGGCGGAGGCAGGCACACAAGATGAACCTGGAGCATCTGGAAGCGCCAACAAGAAAGGAAGTGCCCCCAAAACAAACAAATGAAAGAGCTCCCAACACTGTGCGCAGCAAAACCACGCAGGGCTGGATCGGACCCAAGGTACACGACAAACATCCAGGAGCCCCAGCTGACGGAAGGAAACGACCGATAAATCCACACATGGGGGACAGAGAAAGCCTCCTTCCAGAATTCCAAACGATACAGTGGATCTCCCCTGCCACCCCCACACCGCGGGAGGCCCGGCTCATTCCCACCCCCTGCAGGGCGACTGCCTCGCTGAGCGGCCACTAGAGAAGACAGGAGGGAGAGAGGAGACACCTGGCACGCACCACCTGGACCAGGTGGCCAGGCCCACGTGCCCCGTGCTGTCCTACAGACGCCAGCGCCCCCGACAGCATGTGATGAGAGGGCCACCTCACCACCGCTGGGGTGTTCTCTCCCAAACCCACGACACCACTCTAAGCACCAGAAAACACAGCAGACAAACCCAAAATGAGGGACATTCGACACAACACCTCTGCAGTCCTCCTCAAAACAGTCAGGGTCACGAAAAAGTAAGAGAGTCTGAGACACCAGCCCATCCCACAGGGAACAAAGGAGCTGTGACACTCAACGCGGTGTGGGACCTGGACAGGGATGTTGGGAAACCGAGTGAAATCTCACATCTGCAGTGTAGACAGCAGGAACATAGCACTGCTGTTTCTCAGTTTCCACAAATGCACCGTGGTTACCTAAATGTCGATATTAGGGAAAACTGGCCATCTCTGCCACTTTTCTGTAAATCTGAAACTACTCCAAAATAAAAAGCTTATTTAACAAATGTGGTGGGGCACCTGGGTGGCTCAGTCAGTTAAGCACCCCACTCAATTTCAGCTCAGGTCATGATTTCGGGGTTGTGGGATTGAGTCCCACGTCAGGCTCTACACTCAGCCGGCAGATTCTTTCCCTCTCCCTCTCCCCCTGCATGCACAGGCAGGCACGGGTGTGTGCACGCTCTTTTTCTCTCTCTAATAAATGAATAAATCTTAAAAAAAAAAAAATGTTGTTGCAACATTACTTTAATCAAAACCAGGTCCTGAGACCACGTGTGACTCGGCAGGGAGCCAGTGCGGCAGCAGCCGTCTTAAAGCAGGAGCTGCTGTAGGCAGAAGTCGGCGTGGAAACCGCTGCGGCGAGGGGCAGCGAGCGGGGTTAGCTGCTCCCCACCTGTGACCCCGCAAAATAGAGGAGGCATAACAAAAGCACCTCCCGTGGACAGACACAGCCGCACTTGAGAGGGACCGAAGAGCAAGCAGCCTGTAAGCCAGCCCCCATGCTCCTGCTGGCCCCATTGTCTGCACCCCAGCCGACGTGCTCCTAGCACCACAGCCCCGCTGAGCAAGCCCGCCCCTCTCCACACCACACGTAGGTCGGCAGGTGCCCAGGTGTGGTCCAGAATTCAACCCTCCCCCTGCCCACGCACAGACATCTGCACACCCAACCCTCAGAGGCCTGCCAGGTGGGAGATCCAGGGGGCTCGACCTAGAAGGGGCTCTGAGCCACACCCCCAGCCCCCATGGTCCCAGTCTCACTGCTGAATTTCTGGCTCCATGCTCTGTCATGACACCCAGCTACGTTCCAATCGGGTGAAGAGCTAACCTTCAACCATGAAAATGTAAGCACAGCAGGAAGGTGTCCCGCCTCCCCGGTGCTCCCCCTGCTCCGGCGGCATGCACCTGCTCGTGGCACTGAGCCTCCGGGCCATAGCCCACCCTCTCTGGATTCTGCCCCATTCCTATCACCTGTCCAAGGGGCCCTTGCCTGGTCCCTCCCCTTTAACAGTGCCGGCCCCTCTGGTGACCCCTTCCTCCCAGAGCTCTGGGCCCATCCACTGGACACCCCCAGACCCTGCAACACACAAAAGTGCCAAGGAAGGCACAGAAGCAGCCCCAGGAAGAACTTGCTGTTGGCTCAAAAGCTGAGTTTGAATCCGTTTGATGGGAAGATCTTCTAACAGGTAAGATATTCACAGGTTCAAAGTTCCACAGGTAACTTGGGGCCCCGGGTGAAGCCACCCTCTCTCCTGAGGATGCCCCGGGTAGTCTGGGTAGATCCTCTTGCCTGTGGGCACACACCTCGCCCCTGGCCCAGTGAGTGGTGCAAACCACCCTCTGCAGGCTGCCAGGAAGGTGGCTCTCAGCGTGGGGATGGATACTCCCAACAGAGTCCCGGGGAGAGCCCAGTGCCCTCTACATTAGCGGGCCCAATCATGAGCAGATTATCAAGTCCAGTGTCAGTGCGCACAACCTTGTGCTAGCGCCCACCTGTCTCCTCACCTGGTCTTGGCCAGCCCACCATCTGCAGATCTTCCTGCCCCACCTCCTGCCTCCAGCTGGTGGCCCATCTGCTCCTCCACCTGGCCCCCCCCCAGCACCAGCACCCGGTGCACATAGCACCTCAAAAAGGCAGGCCTCTGGGATCCCTCTGTCTCGCCAACACCCATCCAGGGCAGCCCCGTTGCCCTCCATCTGTTCTCCACCCTCATCCCGGATCCTATGAGTAGACAGCACACAGCACACTTTGTTCTCACCACGCCCAGGAAGCAGGGCTCTCAATACCCCCTTTCACAGGTGAGGATGAGGCTGGCGGGCTCAGGGAACAGAGCCCAGGTCCAACTGCCAAAGGCCTCCTCCTGAGCTCATGCCCTGGCCATGAAGGCCCTCACCCCCCTCGGAGGCTCCAAAGCCACCGGGCCATGTGGCCCGCATGTGTGCTCACAGCCAGCGCCCGTGACCTGTGCATGAGTCCACGCCTGTGCGACAGCTGTGCGCACTCAGAGGCGCCACAGGAGAGTCAGCCCATGAACGAGCTCCTCTGTCTACTGCCTGGAACCGAGAGCCATGAATCCTGGGTCCCGGCACACGGCTGGGCCACCATGTCACCAACACCCTGGGAGCCTGCACCCCACCAGGCCCGTGCTGGGCAGAGAACCTCCGAAGGCATGGGCCCCCTGAGACCTGTGGACCCTGCCCCGCCTCAGCACATGGCCTTTGTGAATTTTGGCCACAGTACATGCCAGGTGAGCAAACTAGTTAGATTCTGGCAGAGCCCAGGCCTGGGCACCCACTTGGAGAAGATGACCATCAGCTTCCTCCGGCTTCTCCGCGGCTCTGCGTCCTCCTCAAACCCGTCCATGTCCTTCCCCAGGAAGACCTCCTGGTGGAAGTCCTTGTTGAGGTGCCCATCCATCTCCAGCTTCACCCCGTTCAGGTGGTCCGGGGGCAGGATCTCACGCTCATCCTTGTTGCCGGCTCTCTCCCGAGCAGATGAGTGGTTGGCAGGCCGGGCAGACACATCCATCAGAAGGATGACCCCCAAGAGCCAGAGGCAGTGAGGAACCAGGCCACAGAGGGGAGCCTGCCTGGACGCCATGGCCACCTGGGTCCGGACTGTGGGATGGTCTGCAAGTGCGGCCAGGAGCTGGGGAGAGAGGGGCGGGGCAGGTGAGGAAGTGAGGCGTGGGGTCACAGCCTTCCCACCACCCCAGGCACTGCAGAAGGGCAAGAGCCCGCGGCTGCCAGACCCCAGCTTGCAGTTAAAGGTCTATAAAGAGGACACAGCCATCGTTCAATGGAGGGTCAGCAAATACTTCACTAAGAGGCGTTTAGTGTACAACATGAAATGGAAGTTCTTGGTTTACAGGATACATACTAAACATACTACTTTTTCCTTTTCCAAAGATACCCACCTCAAAGGCTGCCCAACACCACTAAACCTACCCCTTTTCAATGCCCACAGTGGGCATTCTCAGAACAGTCTCTCTCCATCCCTCCTGGCATCAAGACAGACCTCAGAATCATGGTAACTCACTCTCCAAATCCCAACTCAGCATTTGTGAGCTCTGTGACCTTGGCTAAGTCACCTGGCCTCCCCAGCTTCAGTCTCCCCCCTGAAACAGGAAGCTCCCTCCCCCACCCCAAGGCTTTGTGAGGATTGGGCCTGGTGCCAGCAAATGCCCAAACCCATCCAGCAGGGCACCAGCCCCTTCCTACCTTCCCACCTCAATGACCGCTGCAGGTGTGCGCACACACTCTGCAAGTACACACATGCACACAGGCACATATACCACACTCGTACACACACGGGACACACAAACACACACATGTGCGCGGATACACACACCTATGTGTGCACACACACACACCCTCGCTCATGTTCACACAGGAGTAGCAGGAAGTCTGGGCCCAGCAATGAGGAAACGCCACGGGAAGGATGCCAGGCCCACAGGCACTCAGCCACAGGCACTCAGGCCCGGCACTCAGCCATCCCTGCCTCTTCCCACATCCGGCTCCTCCCACCCAGGCCCACCTGCTTTCCCTCACACTTCCCAGGTTCCTCCAGACTCCCTTCTGGAATGGCCTGGAATTCCCTTCTGGCTGGTGCCAGAACAGGGCCCAGCTGCCTGCTCTGCTCCCAGCTCAGCTCCCCATGGACCTTCATGCTCCACACTCCCCAAAAGGAACTCCAGCTCCCTCTTGCCCTTTACTTAACCTGTTCCTCTCATAGTCTGTCCACCTGGCACACGCCTGGTGGTCCTCTCAGGTGCAGCTGAGGCCCTCCCCTCCTCTGGCAGTTGTTACAGGGAGGAGCAGCAGAGGGAAGCCCACCGGTACTCAGGGTCCAGGGGTGGTGGCCCTGGACACGCTCGCCGAAGGCCAGAGTGCCACCTGCAGCCAAGCTGGGGCATGGCAGGAAGCACAGGGCCTTGCATGGGGTAAAGCAGCACAACCACCGGAGGCTGAGGGCACACAGTGCGGGACAAGGGGCTCCCGCTGACTGGTCTGGCGGCACTAGCAGATGCCACCGCTTCTCTGACGCTTCCTTTTGAACCTACATGCTCCCGAATGGCATTATTCACCGGCCGGGTGACACCTTTATGCATTAGTCTTCGGAACCTGTGCACTCTCTGGGCTCTTCAACAAGACCCTGCTCCCTGAACTCATCTGTCTCACTCCTCTGAGGGAGTAATCCCTCTTTCCAGGTCTGTGGAGCCTGCAATCTCCCCACAAGCACCCGAGCCGTGGCATTCCCTGTGCTGGGACTGCCCTGAATCACATCTACTGGAACGCCACACCCTTCTCTTCACTGTCCCAGCAGCTGTCACACTGTCCACACAACTGAGTGAACACGTACAGGGGTCTCTGCCACACCGCAATATGCATGTTCCTGAAAATGACAGTGCTCTGCAAAAGTGCACAATAAAAAACACAGGGCCCATGGGAACAACACAAGGGACGTGTCTCAAGACCAACACGACTCGAAATAAACAGGCCAGGAGGAAACCAGTAAGTGCTGTCTGGCGAGGCACCTGCAGCCCCAGCAAGCAGCTCGGGGGCTATTAAACTGAGTGGCGATGCCCTGCGCAGGTGCCAAGGAGATGCCAGTGGGGCTGCCACTAAGGTGGGCCCAGGAGGAAATGCAGCCTGCCGTAAGGCAAGACTTGTACAAGTCTGCGGTCACCAAGGTTTCCTCTCCTGCTGGCGTGTAATTCTACCCTGCGTCGCAGCTCTCCTGGCTAGGAAAGTGTTGTGCAAACCAAGATGACCTCCCCTGACATCAATACCGCCCTCACTGACTGTGGCCATAAAAACACGTATCACGTCCAAACAGACTGTACTTTGCTCCCTGAAAAAACAGGCAATTCCTTACTTATCTTCATGGGTAGGACACTTCGTTCTGCACAAAAGTAACCCCAAAATAACCGCACAGATATCAGGAGGTCAAGTGAGACACCAGCTCTTTATCTCAGCACAAAAGCAGCAGCGCGGCTCAATATGCCAATCCACCGCTCAGTTCCTCGTCCTCGGCCTGCCCCTCACCGCCCCCCGCCACCCCTGGGATTTCAAAGGGCAGGGGCTTGGCTGGCTGACCAGGGAATCCCCATCCTCTACGACGTCAATTCAGGGTGGCAACAGCACCCCAGGGGCCCAGCTTAAGTGCAGGCGACATCTCTCGGCCATGCCGGGGTATCCGTGCCGGCGAGCCTAATCTCTTGCCGTCAGAAAAGCAAACGCCTCATCTAAAAGCTCTGTCACCGCTCTTAGGGTCGCGTTCAGAGCGTTGATAACAACTGCCACCGGCTGAACCGGAAACCAGAGGCTTTACGCACACGATTTCAAATCTTCACCAAGTCCTACCAATTAGGGCACCTTTACCGACGAGGGGAGTGAGGTCATCTCGCTGGTAAACACCGGGGTCCACCCCACTCCCCTGCCGACCACACTCCGTCAGTCTCAGTTTCCCGGCGGCAGCCGTCGGTGAGGGCAGAGAGGACATGAGCCAAGGGTCCAGCGGCCCGAGAGAGCGTCGGCCTCCCGGCGTCCCCCGCCCCGGGGCCCTCACTCACCGGCCTCCCTCCCCTCGCCCCGGATCCGCCGAGCGGGGCCCGAGCGCCCGTGACGCCTCCGACGGGACTCGCCTAGGCCGCGGCCATCTTTCTTCCGGGAAGAGGCGGAGCTGGAACGGTGCGCGCGGGCGCGACGCCACGCAACGACGCTGGCGCCGCCATGTTTTCTCTGGGCGGAAGGGGACGCTCGGCCCCTCCCCGGCAACCAATGAGAAGGGCACGCGTGCCCACGTGCCGTGCGGGCACGTGACGGGCAGCGCCTGGCCCTCCGCCTCCGCCGCTGGTGGACGCGGCCTGCACGCCGGCTTCGGGGCCTCGGGGGCGCTTCCCGCGCGCGCGCGCGCGCGCCATGAAGCTGCTGCGGCGCGCGTGGCGGCACCGGACGGCGCTGGGCCTGGGCGGCCTGGCGCTCTGCGGCGCTGGGCTTCTCTACCTGGCCCGCTGCGCCGCCGACGGCCCCCACCCGCCTCCCGGCCGCAGCCCCCCACCCGCCGAGTCCGCGCGCGCCGCCGCCTTCCTGGCCGTGTTGGTGGCCAGCGCGCCGCGGGCGGCCGAACGGCGCAGCGTGGTCCGCGGCACGTGGCTGGCGGCGGCGCGGCGCGGCAGCCCGGGCGACGTGTGGGCGCGCTTCGCGGTGGGCACGGGCGGCCTGGGCGCCGAGGAGCGGCGCGCCCTGGAGCGCGAGCAGGCGCGCCACGGCGACCTGCTCCTGCTGCCCGCGCTGCGTGACGCGTACGAGAACCTCACGGCCAAGGTGCTGGCCATGTTGGCCTGGCTGGACGAGCACGTGGCCTTCGAGTTCGTGCTAAAGGCGGACGACGACTCGTTCGCGCGGCTGGACGCGCTGCTGGCCGAGTTGCGCGCGCGCGACCCCGCGCGTCGCCGCCGCCTCTACTGGGGCTTCTTTTCGGGCCGTGGCCGCGTCAAGCCTGGGGGCCGCTGGCGCGAGGCCGCCTGGCAACTCTGTGACTACTACCTCCCCTACGCACTGGGCGGCGGCTACGTGCTCTCGGCCGACCTGGTGCACTACCTGCGCCTCAGCCGGGAGTACCTGCGCGCGTGGCACAGCGAGGACGTGTCCCTGGGCGCCTGGCTGGCGCCGGTGGACGTCCAGCGCGAGCACGACCCGCGCTTCGACACCGAGTACAAGTCCCGCGGCTGCAGCAACCAGTATCTGGTGACGCACAAGCAGAGCTTGGAGGACATGCTGGAGAAGCACCAGACGCTGACGCGCGAGGGCCGCCTGTGCAAGCAGGAGGTTCAGCTGCGCCTCTCCTACGTCTACGACTGGTCGGCGCCTCCCTCGCAGTGCTGCCAGAGGAAGGAGGGCATCCCCTGAGCTGCAGCCACAGCTGACCCACCACACGTCACATGGCGCCGGAGGGAGGCCAGGACAGATGCCTCAGGAGGTGGCCACCGCAGCGAGAGTCATTCGGGGTCCTGTGGGGCCGCTGCTGAGGGGCCTCCCACTGGCCTTCCACGGGCAAAGCTGGTCGGTTCGGCTAGTTACCCAGAATGAGTCCAGCCCTCGAGGGGGCCGGGTGTATTTGGCGACCAGTGGGGTTTTCAGGCAGATATGCCAAGCGGCAGTGGACGGCTCCTAGGTCCCAGCTCTGGTGGGCCCCCAGGCCTGTGCACCCCCGTGGCCGCCATGGGGCCTCACTCCAGACCCCGTCTTGTTCCGGGTCTGGGAGACCCATGGGTCTTGCCCGGGTGACACATAATGTCCAGGTAGCAATGTCCTGTCCCTGGATCTCAGCCAGCATGGGCCTAGACTGGGAAGATGCCCAGCTTTGAGTGTGACGGCAGACAGCAGTGGCTTGCAGCCCCAGCCCAGCCTGCGCACCTGCTGTCTTCTCCCCAGGTAGAGGAGAGCAGCCAGAGGCTGGAGCCGACGGGCACTTGTGGACCCTGGCCCCAAAAAACGAATCTGAACTTGTTCGGGGTTGGGGACTATGTCTCGTCCTGCATCCTGTGTTGACCGTCCACCTAGGAAATCGCCACACCAAGAGCTGTGGCTATAGGGAAGTGACCCTCGGGCTCTTGCATGTTGCAGCTTAACTGTGTGTTGCACCCAGTGGCTTTTATCGAAATCGCCATAGATTTATTGGGTTAGGTTACCTTTTATGTTCCATGTTGGTGTCATTTGTCATGTGGCAGTCTAAGATTTAACTGTGTGTTTTGTTACTTAGCTTCAATGGTATTTTGGTCTGTGTTGCTTTGGAGTGAATCCGTGATAAATGTAATTCAGCGCTAGTCTGTGACTTATAAATATCGTAAATTTGTGTAGATAAGAGTTTAAGTTAGGAGTGTGTGGGTCTCCGTATTTTTTAAATTATTTAAGGGAAAACTTTTCTATCAGAACTTGGGCTTTGTGGATTAATCTGTTTTTACAGCTCGAGTTGTAGACTTGTTACTGCCTGTGTGTTTAAATGTGGAAGAATTCTAAAACTGTCCATTTCTCTTTACAGTTTACACAAAAGTCAGTCCCATTGTCTCTTTCTGAAAAGACTTTCCTTTTAAGGCTTCCTCGCGGCCATGCAGGGGCAAGTGTTTCTCACACACACATCTGTTATGTTAGATTCTGGGCCCAAGTTCCAGGAATCTGAGCCCTTGGAAGCATCGGTGAGGTTTCCCACATTCTGTCTTAAGAAAACAGGCTCTGCTGGCTGGCGTGACCTTTTGGAGACAGAAAAGCATTCACGCGCACCCTCCTGGCTGATCATCTCTCGGTACCTAACACATCCTCAGAAGATCAGGGTTCTTTTTTCCCCATTAAATGTGAAAAGTGAGTGCTGTGGTCATCACAAAAGTGAAATAAAGAGGCTCCAGGACAGCCGTGAGCCCTTCTGTGAGCCCAGCGGTGTGTGATGCTGCACGTTCTTATTCTGGAATCTGGGTTGGGTCGCCTGGCGATGCTGCTGATGTCTGTGGCCCACTTTGGGGCAGATGCAGATGCGGGAAGCAAATCTCTGACTTGCCTTTGCATTGCCTTTCCTTTGTGTTCTCAGGCTGTGGAATTTAGGAGCGCGTGTCCTGGTGCTCTTGGGCTTCCGTAACAACCCCACAGACAAGCTGGCTTAAGCAGCAGACGTGTCTTCCTCACAGTTCTGGAGGCTGGCAGTCAGCTCCGAGTGCTCGCAGGGCCGCGTGCTGCTGAGGACCCTCTTCCTGCTGCAGGTGGCTACCTTCTCGCTGCATCCTTAGCACAAGAGAGAGCCAGAGCAAGCTCTCTGGTGTCCCTTTTTACAAGGACACTAATCCCACCAGACGGCCCACCCTCATGGCCTCATCTAACACCAGCACCAAATACCATCACATTGGGGGTTAAAGCTTCAATCTAAGTTTTGGGGGACACAATCATCCCAACAGCAGGTCTGGGTTATTTGTGTTTAAAGGTAGAAGAGTGCCCAGAATTTGGAGTCTCGGGCCAGAAGGAAGGGAGGATGGTCTTGTGGTTGCAATTCTCCTGCCTTCAGAAGGTAGAAGCTGGGCCAGAGAGGTCCCAAGATGTGACAGAGTTCTGATTATAAGGTGAATGTGGGCTTTCTGATCGGGCGCCTCGAGGCAGGCCTGACCGCCCCTGTGAACACGTTGTTTCCAAGACAAGGAGTACGTGAGAGGGTCCAGGTTTGGGGACACTGGGGTGAGCAGAATGGGACCCTGCCAACTGGGGGCAGGTTCCCAAGGAATGCTGAGAACAGTGGGACCTGGTTCCTGCTGGCCATTTTCACCCGGATGTCTTGTCTGAGCGTCGGGATCGTTGGAGTTGGCGTGTGCACGTCTCCGTTTCTCAGACAAGGAGACAGCGCTTGGACAGACCAGACAGCTTGCTGGGGCCACATGCATCAGTGGCAGAGCCAGGATCCCACCCAAAGGCTGGACCTCCACATCCCTGCCCAGCATCTGCAGTCCTGCTGTAGCTTCCGGGTTTCTCTGGAGTGGACCCCATGGAAAGCATGGCACCAATGTCCAAGACCTCCTAGTAAAAAATCTAAAAATCGAGGCATGTCTCTTTGGAGGAGCGGGGGAGGGTCCCTGAGCGTTAGCACTCAGTTGAATCACATGAAAGTGCCCATATGCAGCCAGGTTTGACAAAAATGGAAAGTTCATGTTGTTCAAAGTAAATCATTAAATTTCAAAACAGAACAAACCAGACGCTGGGCTGACTGGGCATCATTACTGTGGTTGTGATGTCCGCATTCAGACCACACTTGGGAGCTAAAGGCCAGAGGCCCCTTCCTAGACTGACCCTCAGCCATCGCCTTATCTGCGGCCCCAGGGCCTATGGATAGAGCCTGCCCTCCTCCAGTCCAGCTGGCAGGTTCTCCAGGTCGGGGTTCCCCTCCCCAGACTGTACCTCCCACGCACTGAGGCACGCACTATGGGCTCCACACCATCTGGACACGTGTGCCCTATAGACCAGGGGCTGAGCTCAGGCTCTCCGTGAGCCCAGCACCGGCCCAGGGCCCAGGAGACAGTAGGCTCTTGGGAGATGGGGAGTCAGACCACCAAACTGGTTTTTATGGGGGGTTTAGGATATAGGACCACTAACTCTTCTCCCAGCCAAACTAGTATCTCTCTTTAAGTGGCCGTCAGAGCCCACCCTTGCAGGGCATCAGGACCAGATGGGCATGGGGCATCCAGCACCACCTCAAGGGGTGCACCTCTCCTCATGAGAGGCCCTGGTCCTGCCCCTCCCTCCCCTAAGGCCAATGTGGAGAGCCCTGGCAACAGCCCCTTCATGCTCCCGAGAAAGGAGGAAGAGACAGGGGCATAGAGCCTGAGTGCCTTGGACAAAGTCCCAGGGCTAGAAAATGGGAGAAACTTAAATACTGGCGGTAACAGGATGCATCTCCTAAGAATTAGTCAAGCAAGAAAAGTCCATCCCAAAAGGTTGCATACTGGGTACCTCCGTTTCCATGACATTCTTGGACGGTCATGGTTCTAGACATGGAGGGCAGAGCAGTGCTGCCAGGGGTCAAGGAGGAGAGGTGGAAAGGGAGATGGCAGTGGGTTCTGGGACTGCCCCACATCTGGCTTGGATGTCCACATCCTGCTTGTGATATTGTCCAGTAGTTTTGCAAGACTCTGCCACTGGGGGAGACTGGGTGAGGGGCACGGCACCTCTGTTTGTCACAACTGCACTGAATTTACAATCATCTCAAAATTTAAAATTTAAAAATATATATGTTACAACACTAATTCTAATACAAAAGAGAGAAACGTGGGACCCGAGAGAGACTCTGGAGGAGGCAGGGCGCCCTAGGATGGCCGGGCACCAGGAAGGGACCACACAGTCATGCTGGGGAGGGTAGTGTGGCTCCCAGAGGCAAGCCATGAGCCCTGTGGCGAATGGGAGTTGGTGCAATACCCCACCATCTGCCCTGTCCCCCAGATCTGAGCCAAGACCTCCCCTGCCCCCTCAGACCCCCCAAAAGCCTGGGTCCACCTGGTGTAACAGAGTTGGCAAGAGCTGAGAAGGATCAGGGACATGGTAGGGACTGAAGGAGATGGGGCCTACAGTGGGGGGGGGGCTCCCCCTGGACACACACCTGCTGGAGGAGACCATGTGCCAGCCGGGCTAGAGGCTCATAGTTGAGCCCTAGACTAGCATAGCTCCTGATGCCCACCGGCCCTCATCCCTCCCAGCTGCGTGTGCATCCCAGACCCCTCGCCTCTGGCTGGGTGGGCCTCCCAGAGCTCAGCACAGACCCTGCCTCCCAGGGGCAGGCCTCCCTCTGTCCAGCATCTGGGCTGGGAGGACAGGGTCCTGCAGTGGGAGGAAGGGGCTGGCTGGGTCATGGCCAGAATCTGCAGGGTCTGACAGGGATGGCCAGTGCGCCCCTCAGCCCCCAACCTGACCCAGGCACCTGGTCCCCATCGTGAGACTTTTCGCCGTCTGGGGCCAAGGGAGCTCAGGGTCGCTGGCCACAGACAGGCCTAAAGCAGGCCAAGCATCCAGCCCTGCTCAGGACCGCCGGAGGAACCATGGAGAACCGCGTTCAAAGGCACCTGGGCTGCAGGTAGCCCGGTGAAGACCGCATTACACCTAATTTGCTCCTTGGTGCTTGCACTCGGTCCCAGGGGCTTGGAGAGAGGCTTGGGCTGTTTTTCCTCCTAATAAGTATGCTTGGGGTTGAGCTGCGGCCTCCCTCCTGCCCAGAGTCCAGGGAGCAGGCGGAAGGCCTCCTGTGTCTGTCCTAACACCAGGACCCGGCCTCAGAACAAACACTGGGCTCTTAAGGGGTTGCAGTCCAGGCCCTGGGGGTCTCCTCATTCCTGAGACCCTATGTCCCTCCACCCTTGGGTCCCCCCCTCCAGGGGTTACACCCCCCAGCCCCCACCCAGATGACCCTCCCCACAGTGTTGAGAGCTAACTCCTTCA